TTGAACCCTTTGTGTCTCTCTGGCAAGATGTTCTGCTCCTGAATCAGCTGGGTGGGTCTTGCCTCTAGCCTCTTTGCAGGGAGTTCTGCTGAAGGGTTCCGTGCTGGGCCTGCGCTCCAGGTCTGTTCAGGATCCAGAAGGCCCTGGGTTGTCTCACTCACTCTCTGGGCCTGCGCTCTGGGTCTGTTCAGGATCCCGCAGCCCTCGGTGGTCTCCTTATGATGATTTTTTTTCCCATGTGCATATAATTTACCTTTAACCTACAAGGAGGCGCATGATCCCTCCCTTGTGAGTGGATAAAACCTCTCCCTACGGATTTCTCATGACAGCCTTTAGTCAGGAGCCAAGGAATTAGCATGTTTGGGGCAGCACAGTGGCTGGTCATAACTAGCAGTGATCAGGGTTATAAATCTGTGCAGAGACAAAGCTACTTCCTTAAAAAGCTGATATTGTAGATCTTCATTTTGAAAACTCTAGCTTTTTTGCATTTTTCCTGCAAGATATAATTTTTCAGTTTTTGCCATTTTCTTTCCTTTTCTTGGCAGTGGTACTAGAGATGAACTCAGGGTTTTGTGCATGGTAGGCCAGTGCTCCACCGTGGAGCTCTATCTCCAGCCTGCTTTTTCAGTCTTTTGTTGGAAAATTTTAAGCATTCAAAGAGCTGAGAGAAAACTACAATCTGTCCTGCGTCCTGATCACTTCTGCTTGCAGTGCTGGGGGTTGGAACTGGTACCTGACACATGATAGCTGAGGAGCTGTGCCACGGAGCTATAACTCTAGCCTCCATAATTTCTTGGCACTTCTTGTTGATTACCACCAAAGCTGTACTTACAAAATTTGATTTCTTTCCCTTTACTTGCTTATAACACTTCTGTGTGTACCTGCATGCCAGGTAAGTGAGCTACACCCCAGCTGTATGGAGCTTTATGCTAGGCCCAGGAGGCAGTGCGTGGGAACCCTGTGGTCTCACTGGAAAGACCAAACGCACGGCAGGTAATCTAAGAATAGTACTCGAGCTTGGTGTACCGGCATATCCTTATAGCCCCAGCACTTTGTGAGGCTGAGGCAGGAGGATCACAAGTTCAGGCCCAGACAGGGGAAGTTATTGAGACTTAACCTCAAAAAGAAAAAAAAAAATTGAAAAAGGACTCAGAATACATTTTGGTGCAAAAGGCCTGGATTTAATTCTCAGTACTTTTGAAAAAAAAAAAATAAAAACAAAAAACCAGCCCTCACCTCTCTTTCGTCCTCCTCTCATCCTCTCTCCCTTGGTTCAGCCCTGAAGTCTCTGTCTTGCCACGCTTTCAGTATTCCCCTGGATCTGTGCCCACCCACCACCCTCTCACCCTTCCAGTCTAAAAGAGCCGAGTAATCAGATTCTGTGGCTGAACCATGTGTAGCAAGTATTGATTGAAATCCATTGAAGTATATTCATTGGTTCTTGTGGATAAACTAGTACCTCTCTCACGCACTGAGGTAGCACTGTGTAGAGCACTCTCCAGCTACTGTAGGATACTCAGCATATCAGGCTCATAAACACCACAGGCATGCTGTATATGTGTCCTACGAAGCCCTTGGGCAAAAATTAAAAGAGCATGTGGCCCAATGCGAAGTGCCACAGCTCCACCTGTAGGCTGGGCATTTCCTGCGGCACAGATAGAAGGACGTCCTGGGCCTGCCAGGGCATATGTCCAGCTGCAACCTGAGCAGCTCGTTTACATGGCTCCAGGAGCACCCTGCGTTCTTGGTGGCTGTGTCTTAGCCTCGCAGTATAGAAATATAGATATGAGACAAGAGCCTAATGTCTGCAGGGAGCAATAGACAGCCCAGGGAGAGCTGCTGTCTCTCATTTGTACATCCCAGAAAGCTGGGATTCAAGGCTGCAGATAGCAGCTTCCGCTGGCACCTGTTTGATCCCTTGCTTGGGATGTTATCAGCTAGCATTTGTGTGGACCTAGAGTTAGGCAAATGGTGGAAGTCAATAGAGATAGTAGTTAGTATCCACTTAAGTAATTATGCACCTTCCTTAGCCTGCCTTTCGCCCTCAATAAATGTGAGATGCTTCTGAGGCTCTGGGCTCACTTGGAGAGAGACAAATCTCAGTGAGACCTCTGAAGCTACATTCATCAGGTCTTCTCGTTTCTTTCACCACCAACCCCTAACACACAAGTGGCGCCCAACATGGGGCACGGAAGATGACCCAGGTGTGAGTTAAGAGAGGCCTGACTGCATGGAGAAAGTATGCCCAGAGTAGGCAAGACCAGCGGGAAAAGCTGAGAGTAATGGGAAACTCCCCTGCAGTAGAGAATGAGTATGTCTGTCTTATTTGGATGTTACTCAAAGGAGCAGGTGTAAAGGTAAAACCAAGGAGTTTCGAGAAATTATTTTCCCTTGTAAAAAAGTATTATTACTGGTTTCAGCCTAAGGGAAAGGCTGCTTTAAACTTAAAAGTTTGGAAACAAATTATGAGAACGCTGCGTCGTGCTCATCAACAAGGGAACCAATTCCTCTTCATGTGTGGGCTCTTTGTAGTTTAATTTCCTTGGCTTTGAAACCATTGCAGTCGGACTCAGAAGAATCTAAGAAATATTTGAAAAGGTCAGTTTCAGATGCTGATATTCCTAAACCTCAAAAGCAGCTTCCGCACAAATATGAGTATGCACATGAGACCTTTTTAAGACCTCTGCCCTCCTCACTCTCCAATGCAGAGGCTAGCATAGCAAAAAGGGCAAAAACAGCAGGGGACCTCTGTGGTGCATACTTATAAGGTTGCACCTCCTCAAGATCCTCTACAAGAAGACATTTCCTGGCATACCAAGAGTGTTGGTC